GCAGAGACGAGCAGAACGAATCAAGCAGAAGCTCAGTGCTTTTCAACCATACTATATGCTCTGCTCTCACCCATTTAGCTCATGAAAGACTTTGCTGTCCTTGAATATTAGTCCTATGTTCCATGAATGGAGAGTACTCCATCCACTCTGTCTGGTAAAGGCAGCAAAACCACCATGGAACAACTCTTCAAGACTATTCCTGTCACTTGTAGCTCCTATGAAGTTTTATTCAATAATTTTATCTCAAATCTTAGAACCCTATGGGTACTTAACACTATATTGTATTTCTTCAGGGAAAAATGGCCACTAAAAATAGGAATAGGCAAACTCTTGTGACCTAGTTGATCTTTCATGCATACCATACAAGAGACATTTAAGGGCTTTTTTAACAAGTAATGAGATGTCTTATGCCTTTTGCAAATCTGTTTCCTCTCTGCTTTTACTCTCCAATTCACTAAAAACCTTTGGTACAGACAGATAAGGGTATTATTTTATCTTAAAACTTAAGCTCTTGACCTCTAAGGTGTACCTCTTTCCTGTCTCATTGCAGGCTAAGAAGAACACATAATATTAAAATCAACTTTATTTGCACTTCATCTCCCAGTAGGAAAAAATTCTTTTCTGAACTACCAAGATAAAGTGTCTATGCTGTTCACTGACTCCTGCTTAGGGTTATTTTTCATGCCTATTCTACTCCTTCAGGCCTCTGTGCTCTCTTGCAGGTTCTATTTAGATAATTGGTTGACCTATGGCCAGTGGTGGTGCAGAGTATTTTAAAACATGATGATTACATGTGAATTAATGTATTTCTTAGGAGATGAAACTTCATTAACCTGCTTCTTTAATTCATAAAGATTAGAGGAATGACATAAGAGGATTGTGTAGCACATGCTACTCTTATCTGGCCAGTTTCCCTGAGATTCACATGAATCACAAAGTTAGCATGAGAAAAACATATTCCCTGACCAGAAAACAAAACTTCAGCTGCAAAAGACAGCTATATCCTGCTCTCTGCTACCAGTCAGAATTCAGATTTAGACCCTCAGTATCTGTGGGTTTTCATTTTTGTTTGGTTTTTAAATCACACTGTGAATGCAAAGTGTTTGATTTTCATTGTAAATTACTTACAAGTCAAGCCCTGAGAGCCACAGCCAGAAAATTTAACTTCCTCTTCTCTCCCCAGTGGAAAAAATGTCCCTGCAACACATCACCTGTGTGCAATGAGCACTTGGTCAAACAAGATCGCCAAAAAATGTTTCTTCCATTGTTTAAATACTAACACAGGTATACAGCTTTGCCCTTAAGAGAATTGCAAAACAGTATTGTGAGTGCTTGGAGCCAGGTGCAGAGACCTCTTGTTGATCACTCACTCAGTGCATGGCCCTGAAAGTGCACGTCCCAGGCATAAGGACGGGTGACTCTGAGGAGCAGAAACACCTCTGGATGTTAAAGAACTACTCTATAAATGCTGAGGGTCTGTTGCCACTGCAAAGATCAAGTTCATTTGAGGCCTGGTTACCTGTGGTTATAGAAGATATGGTTTGAACCTTTCATTGGACTATTGAAAAAAACCTCCTGGGAGGCACTCAGACCTGTGGCATACAGCTATTTCTCTGATATAACCAGGGCTGTGAATGGGCCTTCTGTGAATTGCTGTTATGAGAATATTTACCAAGCATATTCATAGGGAGAAAAACAGCATTTGTAAAAGCTTGTTTCAAGAGAAATGTGGACAATAGTCCTATTTAAACTTAAATGCTGGAGGAAGCCTTATAATCTTTTCAGGCTAGATCTTTATGTAATACAGGTTGGAATAGCAATGCCGTTGTCAGCTGACTTACAATGTTTTACATTGATTGAAACAGCCATTATTAGTGAGTGCTTGATTCTGGTTACATTTATCATCCGAGACTTCAAGCTGTGTTCCTCCCTGAACATTGTTACTGATGAGTGAAGAGGTACTGCTTTGGGAAAGCTTTGACAGCCAGTGTTGCATGTTCAGCAGGAGTCTCCAGACAACAGGCAAATGTAAGAGGAAAATCTTCATCCTGCATCACTGTATCAGTTAAAACAAATAGCACGCCTCTCTGCTTTTACACTTCACCTCATTGCTTCATTGCAATGTAAACACAGATTAAGGAGGTCCTTTAATTTGTTGTACCTACTTTGGGGTTTTGATACCTTGCAAAAATAAAAACCTTGGGTTGGCCCCTGCTCTGTTGGCATAAAGCACTGAAAAAAACCAGCTTAATTCATCTTAAGCTTAAGACTTCCAAGCTTGGCATTTTTGTTGACATAGTATTTAAGGCATTTTGCAAAGCAGTGCAATATTCCAATTGTAAAATTTCTCAAACCAGGTAGGAAAACAACTCAAGGTTCTCTATGAAACTGAATAGCATAAAGTACAAAAATGTAAATTATTGTTGCCCTTTTATATGTAACGTGATATCATTCACTCCATTCCTCTATGACTCATGGAAGCATGTTATAGATATTAGAATGTGAATCAGAAAGAATTAGAGATAATTAGACTGTGAATCATGAAATGAGCTAAATTTTGCCAAAGTAATTTGTATAGCCTTAACTGCTTCAGCACCTGAGCTCCTAAACATATTTATTCCCACTGTATCAAGTCCCTGACAAATGAGTAATATCAAGTCCTTTAATTATAATGGAATTGAAGCACAGAGAAATTGGTCACTGTCAGACAGGGCAGATCCATCCATGAAAATCCATGCTAGCCTCCCATTCATTTAGCTCATCTGCATTTCTGCAGCTGCCTGAATAAATATAATCTTCCACGGAGAGCTAAAAAAGAGCATGTATGTGTGTGAAGACAGGTTGAGAAAGTTAGGGCTGTTCAGCCTGGAGAAGAGAAGGTTGCATGAAGACCTCATGGCAACCTTCCAGTATCTGCAGGGACCCTACAGGGAAGCTGAAGAGGGACTCTTTATCAGGAACTGTCCTGATAGGACAAGGGGGAATGGCCTCAAAGTGGGAGTAGGTTTAGATTAGATGCTAGGAAGAAATTCTTTACTGTAAAGGTGGCAAGGCACTGGCACAGGTTGCCCAGAGATGCTATAGATGCTCCATTCTTGGCAGTGCTTAAGACCAGGTTGGACAGGGCTTTGAGTAATCTGGCTTAGTGAGAGATGTCCCTGCCCATGGCAGGGAGGTTGAAGAGAGGCGATCTTTAAGGTCCCTTCCAACCCAGACCATTCTGTGACTCTGTAATGTATCATTCAGTTACCTTGCACTTCTGTTGTAAGACTAAATAGTTGAAGTAAGACCTAGAAATATCAAGTGTGCCTTTATGGGAAAAGTTCACTCTCACTTTTGAAAGAAATAACATTAGATGTTTTGTAGGAATCTTTGACTCTGAAGTCACAACCATTACATCCAATAAAAGCATCTTTCATAATCAAAAAGTCCCGAACTTGTGCAGGTCTTTTCCACAGAGTTGAAAATGATACAAAAAAAATGGAAAATTCTTTCCATAGACTCAGACTAAAATAAAGGTGGGGTTTTGGAAACCAGTTAGTTCTAAACAAAACAAGACCAAATATCGACTTGTCTTTGCAATTCCTTTATTTACACCTGCAGAACAGCTAGTAACAGGATTCCAAGTAGATGCGTGAGTCATGGAGTCACTGTAACATTAAACATTTACCTTAATTGTAAGGCATTTATTTGCAAAAAAAAGAAAAGCTTGAAAAAACTCGAGCAATTGCAAATAATTGCATTTTCACAGTGCCACTGGCTTGGATTTGCAAGCTCTGTTGAGAGCCAGAGATACTATACGACAGAGAGACTCCAAAGCTCAGGCTTTGCCATGGACTGCAGGCTTGCTGGGATTAACTGTGTGAAGACATTTGTACAGTTCAGTGAGGAGCAATCAGGACCAAGACTCACTGGCGGTTTAAAATGTACAGGCCAAGAAGTTGTTACCTTCTGCTGACCATACATCTTTCAAAGGCTGCAGCCTCAAAGAAGGCTGAAGGCTCTTCTGAGCCACCACAGTCTGCAGCTTCGCACAGTAAGGTACACTGAAATTAGTGCCAGATTTGCTACATGAAGATTAATAAATCACCAGAATTCATGAGGAGCTACACATACTTTCAGCTGTTCCTGGTGCAAGGTAGAAAGTGTGCTAATACGATCACACTCCATAAACAGTGAAGCAGCAACCATTTCAATCTCCTCCATCAGATTTAGAATGGAAAGAAAGAAAACATTTTGAAGTTGTACTGAAACTCACTAACAAGACAACTTGGAATTAATAGGTTGTTTTAACCCTCTAAACATGCCATGACTATGTTGTTAAATAAATGCAGGCTTGAAAGCAGCATCATGACACTAATGAAAAACAGCAGCACATTAATTTAGGAAACAGGTATTCCTATGTAGCATGCCATGTTCTGGGTTCATGGAAAATATTCTCTTTATTTAAATGAGAGAATTTAAACAGCCTTGCATGAAGCACCATGCAGCAAGAAGGAAAGATGATGACCTTCGATCAAGCAGTCCTACTGGCAGTAGTCATGAGGTTCTGAGACCGGAATTGGTTACACAAACCAGATCTCAGATATTTTATAGAAATCTTCAATCAACTCACAGACTTTGGTTCCTAAGAGAACATAAGATTCCCACATGCAAGATTCCCTTGAGGACTCTGGTGAAAGTATACCCAGAAACATCTGGAATTATCAATTGGTTAAAGGGTAATGATTTAGCAGTTTGAAGCAGTGCTGACTTCTCAGTGTTATTACTACTGAGGTTATTGTGATGCAAATAGCTTATACCAAACATTAAGAGTGCTGAGAAGAGATTTATTTTTGTTTAATAAGCACATGAAGTTCCTATTAGGGGCCAAAGTACAGGGCCTTGACTGCTAGGGTGGGGATGCCACAGGTTATAGGAGCCAGGATTGCCATTTTACCTGTATGAATCATGGGTTGATAGAGATCTGTTGCAGTACACTCACCGGAGCACTACCTGGGGTACACACTGGGTTCTTAAATGTTTTCGGGATGCTGCAGCTCTGTTGACATTTCTCCTAAGCAGAGTTTTTACTAGCTACCTGTGTGTTGACACAGGATCTCACAAGCCAGCTGACTTCTTAGCTAACTCCTCATATTACCACTGTCTCTTCCAGATATGTCAGTAGTCCCCATAGACTCATCCTTTGGCATCACATTTCCAGATGAGGCACAGGGAAGGTAATTCACTTACAGAAAATCATGATGGGGGTCTTTTTGATAGGGTGGATCTTATAACCCCCTTTTATAGTTAATAAATTAGGAAGAATAATGCCCCAGAGACCCATACAAAAGAAAATATTCTTTTCTGCAAGAGTCATTAGACCAGCTAGTACAATTAAGAAAGATGGACAAGTTTCAAGCAGATACTACCTCTTCCTTGTATGGAGATAATGAGCACATAGTATTTGATCCCAGAAGAAATTTATGTCTAGGATGGCAACTCACTGGTTTACAGGAAAATTCTTGATGGAGGTGAAATTCTTTTATAGAAAGGTAATATCACCCTGAAGAAAAAAAAAAAAAAAAAAAAAGAAAAGAGAAAAGAGAAAAATAGCACAATAATGGGATAGAAAATTTAATAGAAAATTTGCAAAGCAAGAAAATATCAATTTTCAGAAAAGCCTTTCAGATCAGTTCTTCTGTAATAAATCTTGAGTTTTACTACTGATCCCCACTGAAGTAGAACGGGATTGAGCGGTGTTGATGTCTTTGTATCCCAGTGATGTAATGGTGAGTTTTTGAGGTTGTGCATTTGGAAAGGGCAGCACCAATGTAGTAATGCTCTTTATATCTCTTAGATCCCCTTCAGCACAGGCAGCTGTGATTTATAAATTCCTGTGAATTCTCATGAGTCTAACAGGAGACAGACTGTTCTTCCAAGAGGTGCCTAGCACCAGAAGTGTGTGGGCTATCTGGGATCCAAGACTCCGTGACTGTTTTTGTGATGTTCTGGCTCCAAACCCCTTGTTTTCTTTATTTTCCAATTACTTTTCATTGCAGGGCACACTGTTAGTTCATCTCACAGGAATTTGTTTACTGTTTTCCACTATTTCAAGCCTCTTTCCTGGTTAGTTTTCAACTTGGAAATTACCTTTTTCCACACAGACACATTTTTTTCCCCCTAAAGTTCTGATTAGATACTATTTTTTCCCACTCTTTGCCTTACTCCAGTAAGTAGCATTACTACTCACCAAAGAACACTATTTGGCCTGCAGCTGTATTTTTCACTATGGTTCAAGGTCTTCTGAAGTCGAGGGTGTCTTCTTTGCTGGATGCTGGCCAGTAATAACACTCTAGAGTAAAAGCAGGGAAAATAACCCTGCGCACTCTTAATCTAATTTTATTTCCTCCTCTCTTTCCATTTTGTTTTTATTCCTTTTTCTTCCTGACTTTCTATGTTATGTTCTCTCTCTTTCTCACCCTCACCCCCTCCTGCCCTAATGATATTTTATATGCAGTGTGGGCTACATTCAGGAGAGGGATTTAATTTTGTGGTGAAACTGTAACGAAGTGGGACATGTGGATAGGCAAAGTAACACATTCAGTATGGATGATATATAAATGTATAGATTTTTCTTCCACTCTTCTACCATACTATTTTCAAACATCTTCAAACTATATCTCTTTTTAGGGCTTAAACCTCCTAAAGAAATGTACCAAATTGACAAGATTATTTGTCTTGCCTCTCTCTCCTAGTCCATGGTGCTTATATCAAGGCTAACATGCATTTGCATATTTGAGGATTCTGTTTCCTTAGTGATGTCACACTTGCAAGCATTAAATCCAGTTCCTTCCTTTAAATCGAATAGTTAGGATGCTGAGGATACAATTAGGGCATTGAAGGAGGAGAATATTGAGATAACAAAAAAGTTGTCTTTTCATAATGAAAAGTCACCATAATCTGCAAGATCTTTACTTGGGAGCCCTTTTGATTCTTTAGATCAAAGTCTCAAAAGTATTAGTCAACTTAGTCAACTGCTAAGGGAAGCAAGAAGAAGGAATTCAAGAGGCAGATCTGCTGTCTGTGCAAACAAAATGCCGAACACCTTCTGGAGGAGCCCTGGGAGAAATGTTGTGCCGTATTGATCATGTATCATCACACTACTGTGAGTATGATGGAGTAAAGTGAAACCATGCCCTGCATTGCCAGAACAGCCAAGGTGAAGTATAACATAAATCCTGGCAGCCAACAGGAAAGGCTCTGCTGGTACCTTGCACAGTAGCAGCTGGAAGACATTGCAGTTACAATTGGCTCCTACTCTAAGACTGATTTGCTTAAGATCTGAGTGCTTCTCTATTTCAGTAGTGAAGTATTTTAAATTGTGATATCATTTAAAACAGAGAACATATTATGTCACACTATAATATACGATTTTCACTCCACAGAAATTTAAAAACTGTTTCATAATATGCATACACTTCAGATTAATTTAACATTTTGCCTTGGCTCTACTAATTTTCTACTTTCTAAATATGATTTACTTTCTAAATATGTAAACTTGGTTAAACTGATTAGTCACAGAAAGGCAAATTGTGAGGGTTCTGAGGTAACTTCCTGTTCTAAGAATATAATCAAATACTGCATCCCAAATGTGTGAGAAAGATTCTTTGAATTCTTTTTTCTTTTGTTTTTCTTTTTCTTTTTTTTTTTTTTTTTAATAAAGATAATTACAGTGAGAGAAGTGCCAGTTTAGAACAGGTTGTTATATGCAGCCAACTGTATCTATGTGTATATAAACCAAATCCCAACAACTGTAATTGAGTCCCTGTGTACAGACTGTATATGGGAGATGAGAATTACTTATTCAAGAACTAAATTTAAAATAGCATTTCATGTTTGTCTGCCTTCACAGGATGCACAGAAGGGTGACCAGCACTTGAGCAGGTGTCCTGTGTGCTTCTGCTGGAAGGGTTAGAATTGCCCTGTACTTCATACCCTGCATTGCTAAGAGCAGAGAGCATGCAGGTTTAACTCATGCTGTGTATCAGAGCCTGCACTTCCGTCAGTCACATTGCTAAGGGACAGCTAAGACAGAGAGTGGAATGAAAACTGTGATGTTCTGGAAGGAGAAAACTCATTAATGTCATGGCAGGCATGGAGGAAGTAGACAGTGTAAAGCAAATTCAAGGCAGTAGGCATCTCAAAAGAGAAAATACTTCTCTCTTCAGTGGAAAAAGGGCTAGAGAATTGGTTTTGTACTTTTTTCTTGGAATCCAACTGGAAGTGTTCAGTTCTCAGATTGCTTGCTGTTCTTTAAACTTGTACACTGTAGTTGAGGTGACATGCTTGACTTAAATCCACTCATCAGTTTCTTCTCCTGCAGCTTTAATGTCTGGTTTCTTAGTATGTCTCTTATTCCTTCAGAGGTATTTTCTTGTGCTCAGAATATTTAAGCTACACTTTGATAAGTGCCTGGGTTTATTATATTTTGTACAGCAAAGCACTGACTTGGTTTCCACTGACCTTCATTTCCTTGGACTGACATTAATTTTAAGTTCTGTATCTTTGCTTAAACACGAAATGCGTTAGTCAGTGATAGCTTGAGTTCTACTTTATTACACTCAGGTGGAGATGGTGAAATCAAACAGTTATATTGACCTGAGCTCAAGCTGGGGTTCAGTTCTGACCTTTGACATACAGAGAGTTCCTGCTGATTTCAATGAAAGTTAGGCATACACAGCCAAGGCTCAATGTTTGGCCTTCAGTCAGAATATGTATTAGGTTTTGCTTTTCTCTAGATGTAGAGATTATGTCAAAAACATTGTCTATTTGAAACTTGTTTTCTTTTGGTTGTCTAAAGTGAGGTGTCTGTTCCCATCGTCTGATCCCAACCTGAAGTCACAAAGCTTACCTCTAGTTTTGCCAGCTGTAGTTCTCCCAGCTTGCCAGTACTTTTGCATCAATGCTGAGGACATCACCTCATCAGGTCACATCACCTTGTTGACACAAAGATATGCCTTTGCAATGCAGCCCAGGGATGACACAGTTGACACTGCCTGTCTGTTTCACAAGCAGAAGATTACATCAGTTCTTATTGGAAATTCCCTCTAGCCAGGCACTTCACGAAAAACAGTGGTTTAGCTGTTTAGATGGTGCTTAGGTATGTTTATACAGGAACTGTAAAACTAATTCAGCAATAACACATTTCAAACTACCACCTTGCACAATGGAAAAAAAAATGCTGAAAACAGCTAAAAGAAATGTTAGTTTGAATGGTCTCAACACAACTGGCCAAAATTTTTTAGCACTTACTTTAGTGTCATTCCAATAGAGTGCATAGAAAGTTGAAGATGAGACAGAGTTTTCTCATTCTGGTTCCAGTCAAAGACACAGCAAGGAGTTTCCTGTATTGGGAGCTTACAGTTTCTGAAGATAAAAAGAGAGAAAATTCTGGGAAAAAGTAAGAATTACTATACAGTTGCTGAGACAAAAGCCTTAGACAAAGAAAGAAGAACGACTTGCTCAAAGCTACGAGAGGTTGTGGTGTTCTGACAACCTCCACTCACTGCTCCAGGACAAAATAGTAGAGTGTTTTCCCACTCAAGTTTTGCTCCTTGGAGTAACATTTAGCACTGTGCACGGCAGACACACATAATAACAAATAAAAGTAGTTCAGATCAGCTTGTGGTTTATATCTACCCACTGTGTGTCTATGTCTGCCATGATGCAGGTGAAAATAGCTGTCCAGAAGGATAACTTTGGTAGACTATTAAGTAGTTCTAGAAACAGAACTGGAACAGACATGGGAAAGAAGGGAATCACATTTCCTGGAAAAAAGAGTCTAGGAGAATTTGGATGAAGTGCTAAGACAAGCCTTGCTCACCTGACCACAGCTACTGCTGTGCTGAAAACACCACAGAATAGGTCCATGTAACATAACATAATGCTCGTGACACAACCCACATTGTGCTGATAAAACAGGTATGCATTTCTGAAGCCATTTTGTGCAGTTTACTATGAATTCTTAAGGTTGTTGTACTGAGTTAGGTGGTGTGTTTCCAATGTTAGAATAGTCTTTTCCTGTAGCAACCTAGAAACCAAGTTTTGTAATAGCCTGAATTCCAAAAAACCTTGGGGAAAACTGAAATTGAAAGAATGTTGTTGGTGCTTATATGTAAGTATTTAGACACATATATATAAGACTTAAATGCATGTAGAGTAGAAAGTAAGGATTGTAAGGCATTATCATTTAAGGAGGTAGGGCTGGAAGAGGCTTCCTTGTATACAGAGGGGAAAATTTCCTTTCTGAATTCTTAAGAAGTTTTATGGGGTTGATTTTTTTATTTTGTCTTGGCATACTTCATGTGCACAGGCGCTACCAAAGTGATGGCTGCATTGCTTCAGGTAAAGTTTTCATTTTATTTTGGCAGGATCATTTTCCTGGTTTTCCTCTGAAAGCATTTAAAACTGTTCTTCTTTATAAGATGTGCTGGTTTAAGTCTGGGCACTCAGAGAACAGTATCACACTAGTTTTTGTTAAAATTCTGGATAGGAAATGCATATTTATGATCAGCTTGCTATTCTCTTTTTGCTGCTTCTCTCACCTTTTTGCTGTCTTTTTGTCTTTTTTAAAATAATCATGTTTATATTTCTGTTGATTCAATTATTCAACATTTATTCGACATGTCAGAATACTTGGAAACATTAAATTAGATAAATGGTCTCATACCAAAGAAACAATTGAAATGCTAATGTAGATGTAGATCCTTCAATCTTAGTATAGTCTTGTAGGGTAGAATATTAGGCCTGACTCTGTTTCACTTGCTGTATGAGCAATCAAAAAGCCCATCTCTAAAACGGAAACACTTCTAAGTATCTTGGCCACATAAAGGCCAAGTTGTTTCCATCTCTTTGAAACACAAAATCCAGCATGTTTATCTTGCAATACTCAGGTGAGTGTTTTCGTAGAATAATAGAATCATTAAGGTTGGAAGAGACTTTTATGATCATCCAGTCTACCCATCAACTCAGCACTACCACTGTAACCCCTAAACCACTAAAGCATATCATCCAGTGCCAGATCTAAAAACATCTTAAACACCTCCAGAGATGGTGACTCCACCACCTTCCTGGACAGCCTATTCCAATGTCTGACCACCTGAACAGTGAATTTTTTTTCTAATCTGGATCTCTCTTGTCCCAGCTTAAGGCCATTTTCTCTTGTCCTCTACTATAGGCATGATAAAAGAGTCCATCCCCCACCTCACTACAATCTCCTTTCAGGTAGCTGTAGAGTGATGAAGCCCCTCCGAGCCTTCTGAAGACCCATTTTAAAAGGGTAAATTTAAAAATGAAAGCTCAAAATATTAGAAAAAGGTACAAGTTTCACGGAAAGTTTGCACAATTACTTGTAGTAGACAATTCTGTGTAAATACTACTTAAAAATGCATCCCTTTTTGTTAGAAGATATAAAACCAAAGAAAAGTGCCTACTTTGTCTGGGGTTTTGTCTGTTTGGGTTTTTTGGGGTTTTGTTGGTTTTTTTCTTATACAGAAAACAAGGGCTATTTCTTCAACTTTTCTTTTTTTCTACCATAGAATTTTTAAATGTAAGAACAGCCAGCATTTTTAACTTTGTCCTTCTTTCATTGAACTGATGTCGGAGGAAACAAAACACCTAACAGAAACTAACAACCTCTTGGTTAGATGGCATGCGGACGAGCATGGTGGAAATATCTACTCTGAGTGCAAGGGTCAGAGCTGGACTCTGTAGCAATAAGCACAAGGAGAGAACTGGAAAACATAATTATTTTTCTTGCTTGCCTGGTTTTCTGAAACTCAGTAATCTTTCAACAAAAGACCCTTTAGATTTGCAGATATTTGGGATTGAGGAAGAGGTGTTTAATTTCACTATCAGCTCCTTCCAGCCAAAGCTACAATTCAGCAGCTTTCATCATCATGCAGAAGAGTAGTCAATCAGCAGTTAAATACTGACATGAATAGTGCCTTTGTAAATATTTCTCTTCTGTCTTTGAAAACACACAAGCCAAAACAAAAAATCTTTTGACAATGTGCGAAAAACAAAACTGAAATGCTTCAACAGCCTTTGGAGCTAGAAGGCTAGACACATAAACTCTTAAAAATTGAATGCTCTTTGTAAGGCAGAAGAAAGTTTGTGTTCTGAGATTTAACCATCAGGCAGTCCAGCAGTGCAGCAGTGTGTCTCAGGAAAGCATTTCTTAGCTATGTCAGTTCATTGGTGGCATTTTTATTCACCATCATGAACCATTTGCAGTCATCATCATATTCATCTTAATGCCTCTTAAAAGCATTAGCAAGACCCTGAGTTTCCAGCTCTTCAGTCAGATTTGATACATTTTAAGTTCTGCCAAATAATCCCCAAGTTGAGTGATTTTCTTACCTGGAAGAATAAGGATTTGAGTTTGTGTTGTTTCCTTTTTAAAATTCTGAATGCACTTTGTGTCACAAACTCAGCCTGACTCTTCGGTAGTACCAGCAGAAAGCATTAGGTAAGTCAGGCTTAGATAAAGTATTTTTTTGTGTGATGTCCCAATTCCATTAAGTTACGTAAGCTTATTTATGACTTTAACTACAGGAAGATTTTAAATGTTTCGATATTGGTGAAATGCTGGACAGCTTCTGAGGTGTTTTGCTTGTTCTCCATGACTGGTTGCACTGAAGCTGTTAGTCCTGCAGCAAAGCCTTTTCAAGTGTGAAGTGCAGAGAGCAGAGATGGAGCCAAAGAAAGAGAAGCAATTTTTTCAAGAGGCAGTAGGAAATCAAGAGTCTCCCTCACATACACAAAGAAAATATTTTTCATACATATAAGTTTATAATCATGTGTATTGTATAGTGTCATGGATGTGTATTACAGAAAACATTGCAGGCAGTGATTAAAGAACATTGCAACTGAAGTGGAGCAATTATCTTGAGATGTGCAAACACAAGTGCAAAATTGAATACTCAGACTTGTATAGATTGCAGGGTACATAGACCAAAGCTTCCAATCTATCTACTGTTTTTGTTCTAAATTGTATCGGATTTTAACTTTCAACAGTGATGGCAGGAAAATTACCTCATCTAATATCTGGCAGACTCAACAGCAACACCACTGCTCAGTCTGCTCAGAGGCTGCTGGGAGTCCAAATTCTCTCAAGAAAATGAAATCCAAGACTGTGTCCTACCTCTTTGTGGGAAAGCTGGGGTTTTTTTTACAGGATAAACTGCTTCATGATCACATAAAACAATCTGGGGATGGTTTTTTTCAGTCATCTGGCATCTTATGTATAACAGTTAATGCCCTTTGGAAGGGCACGTCTATATTAGAATTGTTATGTTTTCAGCAGTTACTTAAAGTTAGATCAACAGTTCCCTCCAGACAGTCATTGCTATGTCATTCTGCGTAGATTTACAGCTTAATTAACCTGTGTCTTTATCTGTACGTCATCCAAGATCAGTCCAGCTGACTGTAATCTTCCACTTACATTTTAAAATTCAACTAGTCCTGGTAAAATTCCAGTTTATGTATACTAAACAATATTTATATTAGAGCAGTCCAGTTACCTGCTTCCAGGTGCACTGGTAGAAAGGTCTTCAATTCCGTGGTCACTGGGAAAAGAAAGAAATTCCCTGACATGCCAAGACCCAGAAGCACTGGTAATGCAAAAAGATGAATAGAAGCCAAGGATCTTTGTAAAATGGGGAATGGGGAAGGCATCTAAGTAACTGCAGGTGCCAAGGAGGGATCTCTTTCGCAAACAGAGATTCTTCCAGGTAGATTCTTTTACAGCATAGCAATCTTCACTTAGAAATACGATCTGGAAACCTAAGATACAAATGTGAATCTTTAGATGGAGAAATAGTATGCAGCTTCTGCTGAGAGGAATACCATTAGTCAGAATGCAGGCTGGGATAAACTTCCTTAAAATTATGAGGTATGACCCATGTTCTTAATTTAAAGCAGATCAATGCCAGATTCCTTAAACAGGAAAAAAAAATAAACTTTGAGGCAGAAATAATTTCCAAATGCTGCCTGAGTTGAGAAGATATGCATGTAGATAGATGAAGGGATACACACAGAAACATCTGGCATCCAAAGTGAAGCCTAAAATGTAGGGGTTTGGCTCACAATCTGTGGAGCTCTGTGGGATAAAGCTGTTGTTTCCTACAGCACCAGCAATAATTCCAGCCTGCCCTTGTTAATGTAGTAGAACTGGAGGCTTGAAATGAAGAGCAGAAAATAACTGGATGAATCTTGTTATTTATCCTGGTGCAGTATTCTTATCGTGGTCACTGAAAACCTACATTTAAATTTTGAACTTGCAGTCAGTACTTATAGCAAAATACATTTTTTTCTACATTTTTCTCTAGAATGTGTAGTTATTTTGTCCACTGAAGTCAGTGAAGTAACAGTGACCTAAGTCACCTGAGCTTTAATCCTGCCTGTGGCTGGAAGCCCAGTGTTTCTCTCCCATGCTTTGCAGTAGCAGAAGAAAAGGTATTAGACAGAAGTTACATTTCTGTTTTGAACCAGAGACCATTTCTTTGTTTTGCTTTGGTGTTTGTTTTTTTTTTTTTTCCAGAAAAGTTATGAATTAGTCAACACATACCAAAGGTGATATTCCAGCTAAAATGGTAACTGAATATCAGAAGATCATTTGGGCTGTGCATATATTGACAGGTAGAGTAACACAGTAGGAGTGGAACTATAAAATAGAACAATTGATGATCAGGACTGGGTATTCCACAATATATTAATTTCAGTAGGTTTTACTTCAGATTGATTCTGATCTGACCTGTAAAGAGAAGACTCATTAGTGGCTGGAACACTTCAGGGGCACATCTTCTGCGTTAGGTTAACCTGCAGTTAATCCAGAAAATATGTTTCAAGGCCTCTCTGCAGCACAATAAGTGGGAAAAATCAGGAGGTTTCCTTCAAAGTCTAGCTTCTCGACTCACCCAATATTCAGTGTAGAAGAGTGGTTTATCTCTCTCATAAGGACAGGCCATCAGTTTTGCGTACTTCAGTAAGTGCAGCCTGGGTACAGTCTTGCAGGTTCTTCTCTTGTTAAAAGTCTTCCCACTGGGTTATAGGTAAGCTTGCTTGCAAAAGGATTATTTCTCAGCTGAAGTAAAAATATCTGTTGTATAGCATTGGCTATGGCATTGTTACGGCACTCTTCTGAGGCCTGCCAGAGAACAGCTGTTTCCTATTTTTGAAGGGTAGTAAAAAAGAGACAGACAAGGCAGGACAATTCAGAGGGAGTGGTAGTGGCTTAGAATTTGTGCTCTCTTCTTCAGACAAGGTGCTTGATTCACAGAACTTGAAACTGGACCTGGGCAAGATCCCTGAGGCAATACAGACATAAATGCTGAAGTGATTGGAATTCTCAAAGAACTGACTAATACTTTTTTTACCTGGAGAGGAAATTACTGACATATAAGACTCACTACTGAAGTTTTAAACCTCTTGAGTTATACACTTTCCTTTTTGATGTGCCCAAAATGACCAAGGTCACTTTATTTTTCACAAAGCAATAAGTCCACAAATCAGAGGACAGACAATAAAAGATTGATTCAAAGTCATTAAAGCAATTAATAAGTATGCTTATTTGATAATAACGCTTCCTAGAATAAGTCTGAAACCACTGTTAGCATCAGTATCACAGCTGGTGAGGATATCCACCTACGGAGGGTAGCCAGAGGTGGCCCTGACAGCTGCTCTGAATTGTCATGTTGCACATTCCACGGTTTAAACAGTAATTTATTTTGCAATCCCTACATCATCAATTCTGGGATGTTTGTCCATAATGTTTAATGTTTAGAGAGGTCAATATTTAAAGAGATCTGTTTTCAGCAAATAAAACCTCTAGGTTGCCTGAAAGTTAATATGTCACACACACTGATGGTGATACAGAGCAAGAATTGTCACCGACAAAGTGTCAGTGCCTCTGTGAAGACAAGAAATTATGATGCCAAGTGAACCACTAATGAGAAATACTATTTAAGACTTCTGATGCAGTTTCTGAGTGCCTTAGTAAAGTTCACTGGAGCATAAAGGAAAGACTCCATTTGTTAATCCTATTCAAGACGTGGAGGGGAACAAAAAAGTGTGAATAGTACAAAACAGGCTACATAGGATTTGCCAGCGTGGGGAAATGAACATCCCTGCTGCTCTGCCTTCTTCTCCAAGCTAGTGTGGGAAAAAACAGGCATGTGTTTTGGCAGATTGTGCGATGCACTGCTGCTCTCAATAATGCCTGTAAGAGTTTCTACAATATCTTCCTGTAGAATCTCTGCCTTGAAGTAGCATCGTCATGCTTGGCATCGAGGTTCCCAAAATGATGTTGGCACAACCCAAGTAGCAAATTTGAGGGTTGTGCTGCCTACAGGGGAAGATACTGGCATTAAAAGCTGTTACTCTAGGCACTGAAATCACAGTGTACATGACTATGGTATTACAAGGAAAGAAGTAAAGGGCTGGTGACCTGAGGTTAGCAGGCTTTGCCTCTGCTAACCCTGCTGCTTCTAGATCACCCCCTTTGCCTGACTTTCTGCTTTCTGCTGCAAAGGTCTGTGGCACCAATGCTGGGAAGCACAAACTGCCCTCCCTCTCCTTCCACGTAGAGTTCTGAGCAAGAGGAGGACTTAAACAGCAGATGAGTAAAAGACCTCTGAGCAAAATCCATAATGATCAGAATCACAAAGATACTTTTGCACCTGTTAATTGAAATGGTACAAACACTAGTGAGAAAGCTTATGAATCTATAGCATTCATTATATATATATATATATATATATACCCACACACACACATAACATTTTACTCTGATTTAGGAAAACTCACATCTACAAGCAAAACCAAATTCCTTTCACTGATATGGAAATATAGCCCTTAAATCTGAAATGACTTTGGTTGAAGCATAGGTTAAATATCTTGATGTGGTGTACTTGTTGTGCAAACATATATTAAAAAATATTCTCATAATTTTAATTTTTCTGATTTTTCAGAAGGTGTGACCATTTGTTTCCAGATACTCCAAGCAGTTCTGATATTTCTGGGAAAAGGAGAGATGCTAAAACAATACTGGCTCTTAACAAGGAAGCTTTGTGTTCCAAGCTCAAAAGATAACTCAATTCCTGAAAATCACATCTGATAACAACTTTCCTAAGCAATAAGTATATATAGTTTTTTGCGTGTAAAGAGAGGACAAAATACAGTTTAACACTTCTAAGCACCACTTTTAATGAAATAGAGGATGTGGTTTCTTTCCTCAACCTCACCTTTACAAGTCAGATCCTCCACAGTCATTCAAGGTATTCATAATTTCTTGTAAATAGAAAAGAGAAACAAACAAGAATTATAAAATCCTCTGATTACTCAGGTCTTTATACTTTCTCTCTCTCTCTCTCTGCTCTCTCTGTCTCCAGACCCAAAAATGCAGGGAAGTCAAGGCAAACAGCCAAGAGTTTCACACCCAGTGCTGA